TACACAATGTGCCCCAAGCGCCAAGATCAGAGAGAACACACAGGTAAATGAACGCTCACAGAGATACCTGTGTGACCCAGAGTGTTATTAACGTCCCCAGCCTACCCCCCTCCACACCTTGCCCTCCCACATGGCCAAAAGGACCTTCCGGAACACTGTCGCAAGAGTGTCTGTATTTCCACAAAAGCTGTAAGGGGACAGCAATATTTAAAGAAGGAATTCTATCCCTGGCTGCTCATTAGAGTCATGTGGGAAGCTTCCTAAACAATGCTGATGTTATTCTCTACTTTCTGAAGTTCTCATTTAAACAGTCTGGGGTAGGGCCTGGGCATAGACATTTTAAGCTTCTCGGTGATTCTGCGTATAACTAGGGTTGAGAACCACTGACTTAACCAAAGGAATGAAACTCCAACCGTGCAACAGGATGAGGCAACTTGAATATTTGGAGGTCTTCCCAGAAATGTCAGACTCCTCACCTGGGCCAGCACTCCCATCCATTTGTCACCTGCTTCCTGCCCAGGAGGGCCAGAGGTGATGGGCTAGCTTTATCTCAAGCTTCCCTTCCTGTTTTCCCATTTGCCAACTCAATGTCAAGTGTGGCCGCTTTAGGATCCTGGTGACACTCCTCTTTTTAAGCACCTATTACAGCAGTCCTGGGGAGAGAGGGTCTCTAAACCCTCTCCTCAAGTAGGTAATCACAGGTGATGCAAGCAGTGGCAGGGTGCACGCTAGAGGAACACGGAAGAGGAGGGTTCAGGGCAGGCTTCCCGGAGGAAGACACGAAGAGGAGAGGCATGAAGAAGGCAAAGAGACAAGGAACAACATGGAAAGCTTGGGGCATGGTGAGTCATTTGGATGATCTGGAAAGAGTATGCATGGAGAAGGGGGACAGCGAAGCCAAAAGCAGACCAGAAGTGCCTGATGGGAAACTAAAGAGTTTGTACTTTCTCCTGGAAGTACTGCGGGGACCTTTGAAGCAGGAGTCGGGTGATGGAATTTTGCATTTTAAACAGCTCACCCTGATCTTAAAGAAGGGTCAACAATGTGATTGACATTTAGAAAATATCACTCATCCAAAGAGGGGCAAGAAGTAAATACCACTGTATTCCTCTTCCGTGCGCTGGGGAATACTGGAACTGTTTTAGGCTGAAAGGGACCACAGGAAGCTCTAAGGCCATAATGCACGTAATCACTGAAAGTATTTTAGACCAAAAACCTTTCAAGGTGGTCTCTAGCTAGTTAGCCCTGGATCCACAGCTCCCTGAACTCAGACAAATTTTGAGGCTGACTGACTTGAAAGGTTTCCCAAGTGAACTCAAGTTTCTTCAAGATCCCCAGGACTCAGGACTGTTGGTCCTACATCTGACACAACAAGATGGATGAACCGAAGCAGAGAGACTGGGACATTTTTTTTTTTTTTTTGAGATACGACTGACAATTTTTAGTGGCAGAGGCTTTTTGGCTCAGTTCTGAGGATGCCAGGGTTCCAAAACTTTTCAAGCTGGCTTATCAGGGGCTGGCTCAGGAAGGACTTGGTGAGGGGCCAGCCTGTTTTCCGGGTGCAGCAGGCCTCCTGCCCACCACCTCCCTGGTGGACGCTGCAGCCAACTTCCCTCCACCAGACGCTGAGGTCCCACAACACCCTGCGTCCCTCCCTCAGAGCCTGTATGACAATACGGAAGTTATGCACACAGATGTTTCTGTGGAAAGGAAAAGGAAGTGAGATAAACACCTGCCTGACCCATTCACCGGGTAGCTAAGTAGAATTCTTTATTTTGAGCCAATCAGGCACAAATAGGACCCAGGAGAGTGGTTCATTAGATAGGGAGTGATGACTGGCAAGCCCATTCTGATTTTTAACAGAGGGAGCCTTTGCCAAATAGAAAGAATATGGGCAAGAGGAGGCTAGGACAGGCCTATCCTTGTGGCCTTGTTGGGTTTGGTTTTGTGTTTTAATGTGCCACTGAGGGGCCACAATACCAGTAACACCAGCCAACAGTCTTTTATTATCATTCGGAGATACTGATAATATGTAATGGTGCTGGAGGAAACCCTTGACAGGTCTCACACCACACTAGCCAGACCAGTTAACCAAAAATATTTGGCTGCACAAAGCAACGTGTGCCTTCCCTTCAAAGCACACAACCTGGCCACACAACTGACCTTTCATTTCAAAGGCTCATTCAATGGGATTAACTGCATTTACAAAATTGCTTTCAAAATCTTGAAGCAACGTCGATATTTTTTTAAATGTTTTCCCCATTCTCCAAGGTCATCCTTCAGTCTACGCTTACTCTCTAGTCAATTTATCTTCCTGCTGTTGCCATAGATAAAAACTATTCTTAGAGCACAACTGGTTTGGAGGCAGATTCTTTTTAAATTTCACAATCCCTGCTGGTTGACATCTATAAATGCCTCTTAGAGCTTTGTTTATGAGCTGACAGAAATTACTCCCACCTGGTTTTTTGGGTTTTTTTCCTTGAGAGATGATTTCCAATAAGAATAAAGTATAAATTGTAGGTGACAGCCATTGAATGAAGAATAACTGGTGACAGTCTGGCCTAGCCACACCACCTTTGGCAGCTGACTCAGAGAACTCCCTGCTCAGTGTCAGTTGTCACCACCATTTCTGGTTGGCTTGAATGTCTGGACCAACACAGCCTGATTCCCCTGCAGCCCCTAATTTGGTAAGCTCTTTGGATGAAAGAGAAATGCTATTTTAATGGCTAATGTGTTATTGTTCAAGACCATCACTTGTCCAACATCAGAGAGGAAAGACATACAGAGTTTACTGAAAAACTTTCAACTGCAGGACCACTTTTCAGGATCACTTGTTTGGTCTACAATTTTATTTTCAAGACATCCTGTTTTTGTTTTTTTCAAAAAATTTAAGTGTTTTACCCTAAAGCAGGTCCAGTATGTCACTGTAAGTATAAGCAAAGAGTTCCATTTAATGAAGGTATTTCCTGCTTTCAGTATCCCAATGTCAATCTCCCTACAAATTCCTATTTATCCTGTAAGACTAAAATCAAATGTCTCCTGCAGATGTAGGCCTTCCTCAGTTTCTTCAGGAAGAACCAGTCCTTTTAGCTTCTATCCCACTTTGTCAACACTCTACCCCGCTATAACAACCATCACTTTGCATGATGGCAATCTGTGACAATGTCTGCCTCCACAGGGAAAATGAATCCCACTGCCTAGCCCTGTATCACACAGAAGGATATCTATAAATGTTGTTTAATAGATCAATTAATCAATCAAAGGACCACAGCCTTCCATGATGCCTCACACACACACACACACACACACAAACACACACACACACACAAACGCACAGATAGTATATGTGGCATTGGCAAATCATGAGCAGAGTTGAAAATCATAAAGGGAACCCTAAAAATTTTAGAAATCTTCTTCTCAGAACAAGTCTCCGTGTGCTCAGAACAGCCCTACATGGTTTGATTCAGGGCCCTGACCCCTCCACTCCAAAGAATTTAAGTTATTTTATTTGAAAGGCAGAGCCTTTTCAATAGTGTGTCCACTGTGCTGGATACCACAGCACTTATAACTAAAGAAGTACTTAGAAGTAAATATTTGAGGGGAAAAAATCTTCAGAAAGGTTATCTAGTATACTAATGAAATTTGTGTCCACCCACAATATCACTCTAACTGCCTCAATCAGTCCCCATCTTTGAAGGAGGACTTCGACAATTTCATGCAATTCATGCAATCTAGTCCCATGCATGACTGTCCAGGCTCAGGGCTAGCTTTCCAGTGGCTTCATTCTTTCTCAATAGAATTGTGTTCCAACTGAGCAGGATTTCCACAGAAAAAGGCAAATAAATACCCATCTTGGAGTAAGGCTGGGACAGTGGTTGGAAATCCACTTGGACCTAATGGGGATCTTGCTTTATGAAGCTAATGATTGAACAACCAGAATTCTGTCAATCTTAAGTGTCTGTATGTGTGTGCATACACACACCCCAGAACCCATCACTTGGCCCACACCAAAGAGTAACACAATGCCTTTCTTCTAGAGTTAAAAAAGAAAGACAGCATATAAGGCAACTGCTAGTCACTTGGCTGAGGTATATAAAAAGCAAATGTGCATGTCTACAAGACTAGAAAACAGACTAGAGCCCCAAAGAGGGTCTTGGCTGGGACTTAACCAGCCATTTAGCGAAACCTTGGAGAAACATGATTAAAGATGTCTTAACCACAGAAAAGAGGCACCAAATGATAATTACTAGATATCATGATGAACAGGTGAACTAAAAGCCACAAACCAAGGCCCTGGCAGTGTGCTATGAGACACTGATCTTGGAAGAGACATGGAAAGATGCAACCTGTGTGTGCCTAGCATTTCTTTCCCAGAGCATCTGGAGAGGAGAGGAAAGATGTAACAGATCACAGAGAAACACAGCATTTCCAAAGGGCAGCCTCCCTGGAGATGGTGCCCCGGAGGCCACTGTGCTAATATTTAAATCAGAAAGAAGAAATGCTTTGCATAAACCCAAGTCACATGCAGCTGGGCTCCAGCTGCTGCTCCATACTTTGTCAGGTGAAGCCTACCTTGACTAAGCCCACTCCAGTAGCAAGCAGTGTTATCCTATCACCAGCTGGGACGAGTGACCATTTTTTATAGCCACTGGAAGGAGGAAATTTTGCGTGTTAAGACGTTCATTACCTTTGAGTCTTAAGCAAAGGGCAATGAAAAAATGTCTCTCTTGTTTTTTTAAATTGGTGCCACCAATAAACTTGGTTTGATAGAGGAGTCAGGAAGGAGAGGAAATTTCTGGGAATTCCAGAAAGCCCCCTTCGAGCCTGGGACGTCGAAAAGAAGGGTCAGGGCCAGAGGCTGGACAGGACCGGAAAGTAAAGCCCAGGGTGGGGCGTTGGGGCCAGGGACTGCTCCCGTGAGTCCCCAGCCCCAGCCCCTTACAGCTGGCGACCAGCGCGGGAAAGCGGGATGGCAACAGCTCCCGCCCCCAGCTACTCACCCTCCTGCTGGGCGCCCCGGGCGTCCTGGCGCCGCTGCCCGAGAGCAGGGTGACGGTGGAAGTGGAGCGCAACATTCTGCAGCAGCGGTCAGCGCGGGCACCGCGCGGCGGTCCTCCGGCGGAATGAGCGCCCCGGGCCGCCTGCGTGGGGGTGCCGCGGGCCGGCAGCAGCAGCGGCGAGGGCTAGGCAGGAGGGGGC